TCCCCGGATGGAAAGATCAGGGGCATATTTTTTCTGTTATCTGTTGTCAACTTTAAACTTATCCCACAACTATTGCCCCGTATGATGTCAAGCTTTCATATTAGGTATGTGTGTTCCTTGTGCCAAGACCTTTCCGCTGGTACAAAAATGATTGACCATATGACTTTAAATTTGTTGCAACTGTGGGCATAGTGTTTCACAAATACATCTTTTTTCATCGAGAAATAAAAAGGAAAAATCGATGATTCAGAAAGCTGCATTTTGCGTACAAACAACGTAAAAGACTTATAACACCATCAAAAGACACTCTATGTGGGCAAGTTCAAGGTTACTGTATACCACTTCAAAATTTTCGCGATTTCGGCATAGGAATCGTGGTACCTATTGGAGACGAGATGACATTTCAACCAAACAGGAAAAATGTCTTCCTAGCCATTTTACGTATAGTTATTTCCGAATTTGTCACTTAAATACCAGGCCAATCTCGTTTAGGAAGCATTCATTGGAAAGATAAAACTTATATATATATATACATATATACACGAGTCCCTGGCATTCCTATATATAAAGCTGATTTAGAAAAAATATGCTGAGATTTCTTTCTTTAGGAGCTAGATGTAGACAAAAATTGTCACCCTTATACATATATAAAATATATATATATATATATGTATATATATGGAGTATATTTGTAATAGCAGAAACCGAGTTCGGTAGGACATATCAGGCCTATATTGGGTACTGCTGAAGTGGAAAGTTCTATCGTAAACTGATTTTTCTATAAAAGCTATGAATACATGAATAGATAAGTAAGTGATAATGCACAAGGAGAACCGCCTGGTAAGTGAAACAGACAAGGTAACATGTTTGTAAACATGGATTTCTCCTACCCAACATCAACTACCCCAGGTCTTATTATTATCACAGTGAGAACAGTTTGGGTGTTACAATATTAAATATAACAAAAGGCAGGAAAATCCTATAGCAATGATTGATAAAAAAAAAACAAATTTCGAACACACACTCACATCACCTCTACTAGATAACAATGAAAAGTTTAGTTTGGACGGAAAACATCACCGTTGGTCTAAACCAGTATTCCCATCAACATCAACAAACATTAAATCTGCGGCTAGAGACAAGTCCCTGTACATAGCAACGCCAGCATTATCTCATGAGTGAGTGTGTTATGAAATTGACCTAATACAATCAAAAAGTAATTTTCTAGAAACAGTATTTATTTCACGTTGAGAAAGGATCTGACGCCGAAAACGACCCGACCGCGAGACTGTGTACCGACGGCGACCCATTAATTACGGTGTTGGTGAATATCGAGACAAAGATTGCAATACTTCAGGACACGGAAACTGGAGCAATATTCATGGACCGAAACTCGACAGCGTAAACATAACTCTGGCCATTTAAATGTGATTGTCTCGCTTGAAAAAACCTTGTTCTGATGTTGTGGAGGGGATAAAACGATTTGGGTTGTTTTAAATATAGTCTAGCAGATGAGAGGTTATTTTTACCAGTTCTATTGACATTGTTTGATAAAAACACTGTAATTGAAATTCAGCAACAGAATTAAAAATGTTTTAGTTGTACAGGATACGACGTGTGTAAAAAGGTTCCCCTCTGGAGCCCCATTTTGTAAGCACTGTAACACGACCACGATATCAATACCTGGTTTACATATGCATTAACTGAGAATATCAATTCTGACAACTGCAGAAGATATTATTTCAAGGGCTGGAGAATCTGACAATTTCATCGAACTGTTAGATTTCATTTCCGTGCACGATACGATGTCAATTTCATCAGGAAACACAGCGACATGATTTCATTTCGGAAGGTGGACTACTCTGAATCTGAAAAAATGTATACAACAACTCCAAGAGAAGAGGTGAAAAAGGACAAAAAAAAAAAAAAACAAAAACAAAAACAAAAAAAAAAAAAAAAAAAACAAACAAAAAAACAACGAAAACAAGCCACTTCAAATGGTGACTAAAACAATCGTCTTCCTAAGAAGACAAAAGGTTGTTAGCTCATGGTTGTATATTGTAGAGAAGCACTAGGGGCATGTCTTTATTGTCCGATACAATCCGTTCGTTACCAGCTACCAGACATCGGGAACATGTCTTAAGAACCGGTTGTATTTTTCAGCATGAAGTGTTTTGTGTATTAGTAGCGAATTAAAGACAATTGGGGCGTGTCTTTCATCACGCATGCCCCCTCCATACTCCCCCTGCCCTCACCCTCCAATCCTCGTTATTAGATGATGGAAGAATACATGTATTTGCAGTGTGCAACGCCGTTCCACGCCTTTTCTGGCGTTGTCGGGCGGTAGTATGCACGTAGTATATTGTAGGGAAACACTATAAATCATTGATTATATGAGTCTCCCGATACTTTGGACGGTCATGAAAATCCTCCATAGCTTTATATCTGAAACAACGTATTAAGATAGCCAACTGCAATTTGCTACAGAATGATACATGGAGACTCCCTCTGGCTTCCCGCTGACTCCGGGAATGAGCAGGACATTAGTTTTGAGAAAGTTACCGCTCAAAGGAGAATTATTTTATAACCGTGTCCAGGCTTTGTAACATTGGTCTATTGCTGGTAGCTACAATGGATTCAACATTTGTCATTGGGGAAATGTGGTAGTGTGTCACATCCACTTATTTAGACAAGCACCACGTCCTTATATACACCTTTAATGTCATATCAACTTATCGGGACAAGTACCACGTCCTTATATACACCTTTAATGTCACATCAACTTATCGGGACAAGTAACATGTCCTTATATACACCTTTAATATCAAATACATTTATCAGGACAAGTACCACGTTCTTATAGCACCTTAAATGTCACATCCACTTATCGGGACAAGCACCACGCCTTTATGTATACATTTACTGTCACATCCACATACCGGAACAGATACCACGTCCTGATATACGCTTTTAATGTCACATCCACTTATCGGGACAAGCACCACGCCCTTATATACACCTTTAATGTCACATTGACAAGAACTTGTAAAGGCACTTAATGTCACATTGACAGGACAGGTAGCTAGATCTTGTAAAGTCCCTTAATGTCACATTGACAGAACAGGTAGCAAGAACTTGTAAAAGCACTTAATGTCACATTGACAGGACAAGTAGCTAGGCATTGTCAAGTATCTTAATGTCACACTGACCGAACAGGAACCAAGACATTGTCAAGTCTCTTAATGTCACATTGACAGGACAGGAACCAAGACATTGTCAAGTATCTTAATGTCACATTGACAGGACAGGTAACAAGAACTTGTAAAGGCACTTAATGTCACATTGACAGGACAAGTAGCTAGGCATTGTCAAGTATCTTAATGTCACACTGACCGAACAGGAACCAAGACATTGTCAAGTCCCTTAATGTCACATTGACAGAACAGGTAGCAAGAACTTGTAAAAGCACTTAATGTCACATTGACAGGACAAGATATTGTCAGGCATTGTCAATTGATATCTTAATGTCACACTGACAGGACAGGTACCAAGACATTGTAAAGTCTCTTAATGTCACATTGACAGGACAGGTAACCAAGACATTGTCAAAGCATCTTAATGTCACATTGACAGGACAGGTAACAAGAACTTGTAACTGAGGCACTTAATGTCACATTGACAGGACAAGTAGCTAGGCATTGTCAAGTATCTTAATGTCACATTGACAGGACAGGAACCAAGACATTGTCAAGTCTCTTAATGTCACATTGACAGGACAGGAACCAAGACATTGTCAAGTATCTTAATGTCACATTGACCGAACAGGAACCAAGATATTGTCAAGGCATCTTAATGTCACATTGACAGAACAGACACCAATACCTTGTCAAGTCCCTTAATGTCACATTGACAAGACAAGTAGCAAGAACTTGTAAAGGCACTTAATGTCACATTGACAGACCAGGATCCAAGATATTGTCAGAATCTCTATTATCCAATTTACATGTATCGAAGTTCCAGTTTCTTTATATGCAGCCTAAACATTAAAACTTGAGAGCTATTGTACTGTTGTATGTAAATAATGGGGAAGAAAGGTAACCAAGGTTGATTAACCCGGCCTTGACCTCGTCGGGATATATTTCAATACCTTTCACACCCGTGTCCTTACAAACAGTTATTGTAACTCTTTATCTCTCTCGTATTATTCATCTTATATACACTGATGTTGTTTTCCCTTTACTCTAATCATTGACTTTAATTTGTACACATTAGCACTTTTATTGACGTATATGTGTGTGAGACTTGGGAGACTTGACATGGACCTGGGAGACTTGACATGAACTTGGGAGACTTGACATAGACTTTGGAGACTAGACAAGGACTTGGGAGACTTGCCATTAACTTGGGAGACATGACATGGACTTGGGATACTTGACAAGGACTTGGGAGACTTGACGTAGGACTTGGGAGACTTGACAAGGACTTGGGAGACTTGACAAGGGCTTGGGAGACTTGACGTTGGACTTGGGAGACTTGACAAGGACTTGGGAGACTTGACATGGACTTGGGAGACTTGACGTTGGACTTGGGAGACTTGACAAGGGCTTAGAAGACTTGGCATTATCTTTGGAGACTTGACATGGACTTGGGAGACTTGACATTGATTTGGGAGACTTGACAAGGACTTGGGAGACTTGACAAGGACTTGGGAGACTTGACATGGATTTGGGAGACTTGACATGGACTTGGAAGACTTGACATGGATTTGGGAGACTTGACATGGACTTGGGAGACTTGACATGGATTTGGGAGACTTGACATGGACTTGGGAGACTTGACAAGGACTTAGAAGACTTGACATTAACTTGGGAGACATGACATGGACTTTGGAGACTTGACAAGGACTTGGGATACTTGACAAGGACTTAGAAGACTTGACATTAACTTGGGAGACATGACATGGACTTTGGAGACTTGACAAGGACTTAGAAGACTTGACATTAACTTGGGAGACTTGACATGGACTTGACATGGACTTGGGAGACTTGACAAGGACTTAGAAGACTTGACATTAACTTGGGAGACATGACATGGACTTTGGAGACTTGACAAGGACTTGGGAGACTTGACATTAACTTGGGAGACTTGACATGGACTTGGGATACTTGACAAGGACTTAGAAGACTTGCCATTAACTTGGGAGACATGACATGGACTTTGGAGACTTGACAAGGGCTTGGGAGACTTGATATGGATTTGGGAGACTTGGCAAGGACTTGGGAGACTTGATATGGATTTGGGAGACTTGGCAAGGACTTGGGAGACTTGACATGGACTTTGGAGACTTGACAAGGGCTAAGAAGACTTGGCATTATCTTTGGAGACTTTGCGTGGACTTGGGAGACTTGACATGGACTTGGGAGACTTGATATGGATTTGGGAGACTTGACATGGACTTGGGAGACTTGACATGGACTTGAGAGACTTGACATGGACTTGGGAGACTTGACGTGGACTTGGGAGACTTGACATGAATATGGACGTAACGGCTAGTAACAGTGATAATGACAAGACGCTCTCTTTACTGTGGCACCTGGTCTTTTTTCCTTGTTGAATGTAATATTTTCTTGAGTAAAACTTAATGTTATATTTATTTTGGCCAATTTCAATAGAATAATCATGGTTTAATGATGAGGCGTTGGGCTGGTGATGAAAGGGTCACTAGTTCGACTCCTGGCACCCCGTTATTTAGCTCTCTAGTCTCCAGTCGACTCGGCAGTAAATATAATGCGTAGGTTACGAAGAATTTTACACTAGGCTTACGCCGTTTAAGCGAAATATATATTTAGGATGCATGACTAGATAGATAGCAATCAAGACACAGAGAATGAATATCAGGAAAATTCTAGACATGAAGAGATATTCGATCCGAACCCCGCGACAAGATACAAATCGGGACTATCTGTCGACAACGCCACGTTTTATTGTTTAGTTTTATTGTCAAATAAATAGCCTAATGAATCGCCGATAACAAGACACGTTATTTCATGATTGTGTAACGGACATTAACAGGAAGGCTTTCCTCACGCGACAATCATAAAGACGTGAGGGACATGCTAAGTACGTCCTTAACGTAAATCAAATCTTACATCTGTAGTACCCGACTAGTCTTCAACACGCAACAACATAATCCAGCCTAAATACCATAAACTGAGACAGATAAAAACCGCGCACATATGCTGCCTCGGGAATTAAATATAAAAAATTCGATAGTTTTTAAAAAGCAATATTGAGAACAAGCGTCTGAAATTGATGATAATATACCACATTATTTAGAAAACAACCATCAAGGGCCTATCATCCACAACTACACACCTGTTCCTCTATCATCAACTCTAAACACCTGTTCCCCTATCATCAACTCTACACACCTGTTCCTCTATCATCCACAACTACACACCTGTTCCTCTATCATCCACAACTACACACCTGTTCCTCTATCATCCACAACTACACACCTGTTCCTCTACCATCTACAACTACACACCTGTTCCTCTATCATCCACAACTACACACCTGTTCCTCAATCATCCACAACTACACACCTGTTCCTCTACCATCCACAACTACACACCTGTTCCTCTATCATCCACAACTACACACCTGTTCCTCTATCATCCACAACTACACACCTGTTCCTCTATCATCCACAACTACACACCTGTTCCTCTACCATCCACAACTACACACCTGTTCCTCTATCATCCACAACTACACACCTGTTCCTCTACCATCCACAACTACACACCTATTCCCCTATCATCAACTCTACACACCTGTTCCTCTATCATCCACAACTACACACCTGTTCCTCTATCCATCCTCTACATCCACTACACACCTGTTCCTCTATCATCCACAACTACACACCTGTTCCTCTATCATCCACAACTACACACCTGTTCCTCTATCATCCACAACTACACACCTGTTCCTCTATCATCCACAACTACACACCTGTTCCTCTATCATCCACAACTACACACCTGTTCCTCTATCATCCACAACTACACACCTGTTCCTCTATCATCCACAACTACACACCTGTTCCTCTATCATCCACAACTACACACCTGTTCCTCTATCATCCACAACTACACACCTGTTCCTCTATCATCCACAACTACACACCTGTTCCTCTATCATCCACAACTACACACCTGTTCCTCTACCATCCACAACTACACACCTGTTCCTCTATCATCCACAACTACACACCTGTTCCTCTACCATCCACAACTACACATCTGTTCCTCTATCATCCACAACTACACACCTGTTCCTCTATCATCCACAACTACACACCTGTTCCTCTACCATCCACAACTACACACCTATTCCCCTATCATCAACTCTACACACCTGTTCCTCTACCATCCACAACTACACACCTGTTCCTCTATCATCCACAACTACACACCTGTTCCTCCACCATCCACAACTACACACCTGTTCCTCTATCATCCACAACTACACACCTGTTCCTCTACCATCCACAACTACACACCTGTGCCCCTGTCATCAACTCTACACACCTGTTCCTCTACCATCCACAACTATACACCTGTTCCTCCACCATCCACAACTACACACCTGTTCCTCTATCATCCACAGCTACACACCTGTTCCTCTACCATCCACAACTACCCACCTGTTCCCCTATCATCAACTATACACACCTGTTACCTTATCATCAACTCTACACACCTGTTCCTCTATCATCCACAACTACGCACCTGTTCCTCTATCATCCACAACTACACACCTGTTCCTCTAACATCCACAACTACACACCTGTTCCCCTGTCATCAACTCTACACACCTGTTCCTCTACCATCCACAACTTTACACCTGTTCCTCTACCATCTACAACTACACCTGTTCCTCTATCATCCACTACTACACACCTGTTCCTCTACCATCCACAACTACACACTTGTTCCTCTACCATCCACAACTACACACCTGTTCCTCTATCATCCACAACTACACACCTGTTCCTCTATCATCCACAACTACACACCTGTTCCTCTATCATCCACAACTACACACATGTTCTTCTACCATCCACAACTACACACCTGTTCCCCTGTCATCAACTCTACACACCTGTTCCTCTCTCATCCACAACTACACACCTGTTCCTCTATCATCCACAACTACACACCTGTTCCCCTGTCATCAACTCTACACACACCTATTCCTCTATCATCCACAACTACACACCTGTTCCTCTATCATCCACAACTACACACCTGTTCCTCAATCATCAACATATACACACCTGTTCCTCTACCATCCACACTATCACTACGACACTGTGAGATAGATATGACCGTGATTATAGACGTTATATAGAGGGTAACACTATGACACTGTGAGATAGATCTGACTGTGATTATAGACGTTATATAGAGGGTAACACTATGACACTGTGAGATAGATCTGACTGTGATTATAGACGTTATATAGAGGGTAACACTATGACACAGTGAGATAGATCTGACTTTGATTATAGACGTTATATATAGGGTAACACTATGACACTGTGAGATAGATCTGACTGTGATTATAGACGTTATATAGAGGGTAACACTATGACACTGTGAGATAGATCTGACTGTGATTATAGACGTTATATAGAGGGTAACACTATGACACTGTGAGATAGATCTGACTGTGATTATAGACGTTATATAGAGGGTAACACTATGACACTGTGAGATAGATCTGACTGTGATTATAGACGTTATATAGAGGGTAACACTATGACACTGTGAGATAGATCTGACTGTGATTATAGCCGTTATATAGAGGGTAACACTATGACACTGTGAGATAGATCTGACTGTGATTATAGACGTTATATAGAGGGTAACACTATGACACTGTGAGATAGATCTGACTGTGATTATAGACGTTATATAGAGGGTAACACTATGACACTGTGAGATAGATCTGACTGTGATTATAGACGTTATATAGAGGGTAACACTATGACACTGTGAGATAGATCTGACTGTGATTATAGACGTTATATAGAGGGTAACACTATGACACTGTGAGATAGATCTGACTGTGATTATAGACGTTATATAGAGGGTAACACTATGACACTGTGAGATAGATCTGACTGTGATTATAGACGTTATATAGAGGGTAACACTATGACATTGTGAGATAGATCTGACTGTGATTATAGACGTTATATAGAGGGTAACACTATGACATTGTGAGATAGATCTGACTGTGATTATAGACGTTATATAGAGGGTAACACTATGACATTGTGAGATAGATCTGACTGTGATTATAGACGTTATATAGAGGGTAACACTATGACACTGTGAGATAGATCTGACTGTGATTATAGACGTTATATAGAGGGTAACACTATGACACTGTGAGATAGATCTGACTGTGATTATAGACGTTATATAGAGGGTAACACTAAGACACTGTGAGATAGATCTGACTGTGATTATAGACGTTATATAGAGGGTAACACTATGACACTGTGAGATAGATCTGACTGTGATTATAGACGTTATATAGAGGGTATCACTATGACACTGTGAGATAGATCTGACTGTGATTATAGACGTTATATAGAGGGTAACACTATGACACAGTGAGATAGATCTGATTGTGATTATAGACGTTATATAGAGGGTAACACTATGACAATGTGAGATAGATCTGACTGTGATTATAGACGTTATATAGAGGGTAACACTATGACAATGTGAGATAGATCTGACATTGATTAATGACGTTATATAGAGGGTAACACTATGACACTGTGAGATATATCTGACATTGACCGTGCGTATAGACGTTATTTAGAGGGTAACACTATGACACTGTGATATAGATCTGACATTGACCGTGATTATAGACGTTATATAGAGGGTAACACTATGACACTGTGATATAGATCTGACCGTGCGTATAGACGTTATATAGAGGTAACACTATGACACTGTGAGATAGATCTGACTGTGATTATAGACGTTATATAGAGGGTAACACTATGACACTGTGAGATAGATCTGACTGTGATTATAGACGTTATATAGAGGGTAACACTAAGACACTGTGAGATAGATCTGACTGTGATTATAGCCGTTATATAGAGGGTAACACTATGACACAGTGAGATAGATCTGACTGTGATTATAGACGTTATATAGAGGGTAACACTATGACACAGTGAGATAGATCTGACTGTGATTATAACCGTTATATAGAGGGTAACACTATGACACTGTGAGATAGATATGACATTGACCGTGCGTATAGACGTTATTTAGAGGGTAGCACTATGACAATGTGAGATAGATCTGACTGTGATTATAGACGTTATATAGAGGGTAACACTAAGACACTGTGAGATAGATCTGACTGTGATTATAGACGTTATATAGATGGT